CACCCCTCCTTTTCTCTTTTCTTGTAGTCAGTTAGATAGGGGTGTCATGTCTCGATTTTTCATGTTTTACAGTGAGGAGTATCAGTCATGTCCCACGTGTCAGAAAGCATGGACTTGGCTTCTCATCAGGTTTTGCCTAGCAGGGGCTCTGAACATGGAAGCGCCCCATCTCTAAGGGCATGGACAATCCCCAAGCTCGTCTTGGAGCTCCAGAAGAAGGGCATTCCCTACTCTTCTACAGCTAGGAAGGCAGAACTTTTCAAGTTATTGTTTCCGGCGGCAGCCGCTAGTGGCACTTCTCAACAGGTGTCCATGCAAACTGTGGTCACTTCATTGACACATATTCATGCAACTTTAAACACCATCACGGCTTCGTTACACGAACTTCAGCACCGAACCGACATGCTAGAAAGGCAGGCAGTGGTCATCCCAATGGCAGTAGTGCCGGATGTCCCTGGTACCCCCGTTATCATCCCTGGCGTCAGCACCACGGGCCCCCCCACCCCCGGCAGGTATGACCACTTTTCCGCCCCACATCTCACCAGCTCATTTCATTCCGGCTAACCTCAGGAATGAGATTTTGGTAGGCAAAGATGTCAATCTGGCATCTCTTCTCATTGCTGTCCATGACGTCTCTGACAACAAGGCGTACGCATGCGGGGACGTGTCTGTCATTCTGAAAGCCAGAGACCCCAGGTTAAACAGAAAGTTGTCCATTGCCGAGTTCGTACTGGCGTTCGGGACTTTCAGGGACGTGATATGTTCAGCTAGTCCGGGGCGGAGGGAGGAATTTGATGCATACATACATATTGTAATTGATTTAGCTTATAAGTATGGGGGGCATGCCTTCTATGATTACCACCGGGCTTTCTCTGCCAAAGCTGCGGCCGGGCTCGCTCAATTTCAGTTTGTCACTAATTGGGGTAGGATAGACACGGAGCTATTTTGCCGTCACTTCGCATGGTTAAAATCACCAGTCTGTACCTTATACCAACAGCTCAGGACCAGGATTCGATCATACAGATCGATAGGGGGGGATGGGCGGATTTATTGATGTGGGACGAGTTTCTCAGAGACTGGAATGGTATCTCAATGTTCATTCCTCAAGCGTCGCCATCTTCCCCGCGGGTGGTCACGGACGCGGCAGCTTCTACAGGGTTTGCTGCTATTTTTGGCACCCATTGGTTCGCCAACGCCTGGCCGGCAGAGGTAGCAGATATAGGAGGCTTCGCACGAACATCATCCCTTTTCGAAATCTACCCTATAGTTGCGGCAGCCAAAGCGTGGGGTCCGCTCTGGTCTGGCCACACAGTCATAGTCCACACAGATAACCAGGCGACCGCCGACATCATTAACAAAGGCAGATCTAAGTCCCTCATGATCATGTCCTTTCTGCGCAGGCTGACATGGCTGGCACTACAGTACAACTTTAATGTAATTTGTTATTATATCCCTGGTGTATGCAACGTGGCGGCCGATGCTTTATCCAGATTTAAACTCGATCTTTTCTTTCAGCAGTGCCCAGATGCAGATGCGGTATCCACGCCCGTTCCCGGTTTCCAGCATCTCATACTAGACTAGAGGAACATCGGTTGAACGCTAGCAGGCTAATCAACAACTCCCTTGCCAGTAACACACGCAAGGCTTATGGAGTGGCGTGGAAAGCGTTCAATGCCTTTCAGGCCTTACATGCCGTCGAAGACCCCGGCGACATAGGTTTTGTGTTAGCCTTCATTGCCTACTGCCACACGGACCTCAAGCTCGCTCACAACACCATCCGGTTGTACTTAGCAGGGGTCCAAAACTTTCTGAGTTTGGCTCAACCAGAGAGGCCTTTTCTGTTTTCGGCTCACCCCGTCCGGGCTATTCTGAAAGGCATTCAGAAAACAAGGGCCCAGGTGTGCGGCACCCGGTTACCCATAACTAGTAAGCTGTTCCGTGGTATGTCAGACATGCTGGATAGATCCCCATTCGGGGTCTTTCTTAGCATAATTCTAAAAGCTGCTATTTACTTAGCGTTTTATGGTTTCCTGAGGCCAAGCGAGTTCACGTCTTCTAGCTCCCAAACAGTCATCATGCGGAAGCAGAATTTGTGCCGTCACATTAAGTGCTATGTACTTACCTTAGAACGGTGCAAGACCAACCAGGTAGGGGCGCCAACTAAGATCCAGTTGTATCCTTCCGGCAATGCGTGGTGCCTGGTCAAGGTGTTGGATTGCCTCCTGACCAAACTGACATCTACGCTATCGCAAGGACCACTACTGCCGTTCCCCTTAGCTCCTCTCTCAACGCAACAATTTGTGTCCCACATGCGTATCCTCCTTGGGCAGTTAGGGGAAGACCCCAACTGTTATTCAGGGCACTGCTTTCGCATAGGCGCAGCTTCAGCCGCGTCCCGACATGGCATACCTGCTCACATTATTAAGAGACTAGGTAGGTGGAATTCCGCGTGCTTCAGCAGATACATTCCGAACCCACATGTGGAAATGGCAAAAGCTTTTGCTTGTCTGGCTGTTTAAAATGCAGGTTTCAATAAAGATCACTTATTTTCTACATGGTTGTTTTTGCCCCCTTATTTGCATACCGTCCATCCGGACCCTGGCACAACTCAGGTCTGTATGTCCGTGTATGTTATGTTTATGTTTGTCATAGGAAGTTGGCACCTATCATGAGGCATCGGGCGTTCCGGCAATGCAGGTCCAGAAAATACGTTTGAGGAAGTGGCAGTCAATAGGTTGGAGTAGATCCGCATATGCTGGGGAACTGCTAAGACAACAGTTTTGCTACTGACTCAGTAATCAAGAGAGCAACGAAGATGTAAATGGCAGTGGATGTAACAGGTGGGAGGAGGGGGAAGTGGCAACAAATAGGTTGGAGCAGATCCGCATATGATGGCGGACTGCTAGGAGCAGTTGGTATCTTGCTAATCACAGTTCATCAAGTGAGCAATGCGGTTATGTTTGGGGGTGCTACAAACAGATGAGTTGTCAATGGTTATGTCTGATCACAGTTCAACAATTCAGCATAAGTAAAGGTGAAGTAGTTTCAACAGGTGGTTGATTACTTGTTAAGCCAAGCTTGAGTTCCCAATACAGCACAAACAGGTATTTGAGTGGAAATAACAGGTGGGAAGTTTACCAGTTACTTGCGGTTTGCTTGAAGGTATGAGGCAAATGTGGCTGGTACTTGGGGTGATCGATGCAACCTCAGTGTTGGTCCAATGGCAGGTCCTGGTGTGCAGCAATGAGTCTCACTCTCCAGTTCAGCCTGTAACACACTGTCTCTTGCTCTGTCCTCAGAGCCACTCGCTCGACGTTCCAGAACGATAGAACGCCGAGTGAGTGGCTCAGCTGTGTTTTTGAGGAGGAGCTGCGGCCAAGGGGAGGAGTCGGCCGTGATGTCATGGACGGACAGCACGCCTCAAACATGGAGCTCTGATCCGGGTAGGTCTGTGACAGATGTTCTTTCGCTTTCCCCTTTTGGGGTTCTTCCTAGTCTGGTGCTCAATGCTGCCATATTTAGCTTTTTATGGGTTTTTGAGACCAGGGGAGGTAGCCAAGGCTAGACAGGGGTGGTGGTACTCTTCAAAGGTAATTTAGTGAAGGTGGGTGACAGTTACCAGTTACATCTACCTCACGAAAAAACCAGGCACGTGTGTCCTGGGCACGTGATCAAGTTCTTCCAAACCAGGAACGTTTGGTGTCCAGTGGCAGTTCTTGATCAACTCTTTCTGGCTCTTAGTCTTCACAAGCAGGACGATCCCTTACTACCGTTTCCCATCAGCCCTCTTTCTTCCAATCAATTCGTAAAACACATCCGTGTTCTGTTGGCTGACATGGGATTGAATCCGGCACAGTTTTCCGGTCACTCATTTCGCATAGGTGCAGCCTCTGCTGCCTCCAAACAGGGGGCACCAGCACACATAATTAAACACTTGGGTTGTTGGAGTTCTGGCTGCGGTCAGGTACCTTCCCGGAGCCACACGCAGAGCTGGCTCGAGCTTTTGGCAAATTAGTGGAATAGTGGGTCAGTGTCATTGCTTTCCTCTTCCCTTTTCAGCTTGGTTTTTGCCCTATATATATATATATATAAACACACCAACACAAACATAATGACCCGTGCCATGACGATCCTCTCTTGCTGGACTGCTGTCAATGACACCACCCATAATAAGAAGTAATTACAGGCCCTCCTTAGCAGTCTTTTCCACAGTGTCCCTGCTGAAGGTGAACATGCTGAAGAGTTTGATAGTTTGCTGGAACTAAGGCTGACTCAGCACTTCAGGTACACTTTCCATTTCAGTATATCCTGAAGAATCTTGAGCCAATACCTCTGTAACCAAGAGGCATTTGCTGTCCCTGGTTAAGATCGGTCTTGCTTGCCATCTTGGCTCCTTTCCTGTAAATATGGCATGCATTCCAATC